GTGTAGTTCTATGCGTGACTTCCTCTATGGCCCTGTTTTCACCTGGTATTTAGATGCATTTTGGTCGATCAGATGACACATGGATTACGCTAATTACAGGTGTAAACAGGGTTTTAGACGTTTTGAGCTTCCAGTGCTAGTCGAAAACACATTTGACCGGATTGCTTTCGTAATGTAAACGCTCATGTGGTTGAATGTGTTCAAACAACAGCAAAAGACTGCCTGCCACTGACCTAATGTGTAAATATTATGGGTAGCACGCCAGCCAGACGGGATTTAAACTTTGTAAGCTGAAGACCCAAGTTTGGTTTGAAGACAAAAAAATGTACCAAGCACAATGTTCTCTCACCATTCCTGGTTTCCTGGTCTTGCGGCTGTCAGAGCAGAAGGAAAGCTGATGCTTTCTGTATGTTTTTCCGTTGTCTCCGTGCGCCTTCAAATTGCGTTTTGTAAATTGCAAAATCTTATTTTGTCCATTAGACCGAAAGATGATTAAAAAAAAATGGACCACTTGTTTTCATTGATGTTTGACTAGCTCTTAAGTGGTCTTTGACTATATTCTGACTCCAATCGTTGTGGATACATCAGGATCTGGCTGGTTAACACTGCCCAACACTTTTTAAAGTAGTATGTTTTATCAGTGACCACCAGCCGAAAAAACCCACACTTGAATTAAATGATTTAATGATGTTTTTCTTTCCTCTACTCCTATAGCGCTATAGAACTCCCAGTAGAGGGTGGGAAGGTCACAGTTTTGTTCTGCCCACTGTTTTTTGATGTTGAATGAAGGCTGGTGTCAGCCCATAAGGCTTTGGTTAACATTAACCGTCTGGGCGTGAAATGAATCAGAGGGCGGGCGTGAAAGAGTAAATCCTTCGATCTTTCTTCTTCTGCTCGCTCTTGACAGCAGTGCTATACTTAAAGATGCATATTTTCATCCTCGTTTTTTGCATTATTCTTGTCATTCTGGTGCTGTTTACCAGCTTCTTAACAACATTCATTGAGATAGTTCCCTTCAGTCAGAGTTATTTGGTGGGCTTGTTTGATCACCTCTGGGTTTACCAACCATCTCGACCAAAAATAATCAACCATTGTGAGGTTCCCCCTAATCTCATGTTGACGTCAGGCTCGGAAAGGAACTGATGCAAAGGATTAAGTATGTACTAAGTTAATGACAATGTCAATGGAGGTCTTAGGATGTTTCGCATTTTGGCGAGCATTTAGGCATGACCTTAAAACCCTTCCATTAGCTGATCCATGCTTGGGCCTGCACTCTAAAATGCTTCTGTTCTTGTAATAACAGTACATCAGGGCTGTCATGATGGAAGATTGAGGTAGGCAAGCTAAGGCTTTCAAATTTGTTCAAGCCATAAGCTCCATATTCACAGTTATAGTGGATGCATTGTGAATGAGTAAATAACATTCCTATCTAATCTAAGATGAGGGAGGCACATTCATACAGGTTTACTGCGAGATACCATGTTGTTCTGACTCATATTTGATTTCTGACTTCTGTCACCTTCCTCAATTCACAGTATTGAATATTTATGTCTTACCACACAATTGCTTCCATGACTTTAATGCAGCGTGGTCAAGGTCCAAAATGAATACTCGCAAAGCTCCAAACTTGCTTTGACACAAATATAACTTATAACCACACAAATCCAATCCAATCCAAATTTTCCAGTCTTGAACTGTACCTTATTTATTTATTTACTTATTTATGAAAATAGACGACCTGTACTTCATGGAACTTGCTAAGGGCAGAATAAATGTAGACTTTGCAGATGTGATAAATTAGTAAAGGAAGAGCTTCAGTCAACCATGAGAGGGAGACTGTGGGCACTGGGAAAGAAGGCTGAGCATTCAAAAAGACCGAATTTTCATTTGTGTGGGTTGGTTTGTTTGTAAAGGTGTGAAGCACTTGACTCAGCAATCCTCCATGACTTGAATGCCTCAGTTCAAATAACTGTGAAAACACAAACGTTTAACCTGTCATCCTCCTGCCTCTACTGAGAGGCTGTTTCAACCATCTGAAGCATTTGCTCATAGCAGATGTAGTGTCTGGACAGCCTTTTTTTCTACCCAGGCAATGGATTTGCTTCCAAAGAGGAGCTACCATATTGCAACAAACTGGCACAGCCCTGGTTCCAGAAAAAGCCTCAGGCAATTCACGCTCAAATGGTTGTACAAGTGAGGATTTTAAGAAGTTCTGCCTGGATTGCGCATACGCATACACTTTCAGTCTACCTGTCACTGCTGAGGTAGTTCACTTTTAACAATGAAAATTTTGTCATACTCACCCTCAATTTCAAACCTGTATGACTGTCTTTCTTCCATGCAATAAAAATGAGAATGTTTGAAGAATGTCCTGGCCTCTCTATTTTTCATGACATGAATGAGGACTTGGTCTGTAATAAAAGCTGTCAGATCAGATTTTTATTTAACAAAAAAAAAAGCATTCACCATTCAGGCGAGACACTAATCAATCCGTTTTGAGAACAGACCGTTTAGACCAGTTTTGTGAACTTGAATAAATCATTTCATTCTGTTTCAAAAGATTTGTACACAAATTGGACATAGCTCTTTTTGGCACATTCATGAACAAAGTACTAAAGGTGGAACGACATGGTTTGGAATGACATGTGTGAATGAAAAAAATAAGTTTTCATTTTTGGGTAAACTGTTCCTTTAAGGAAATTCATCATGCAGCCATTATGAATGACTCCCATTGCAGCTCTGCACCTACCGCAGCATTTACCATACAAATGGAATTGAGCCAAAAAACAAACAAGACACAAAGTTATATTTTGGGTTTGTGAGCTGGTCAGGAGAATAGGTGACTGCAGCAAATGCTTAGCTCAGAGTAGGTGCAGAGACACTAAGAGCTTGGCACAGGCTCCGTGTTTAAAGCCTGGCTTTTACTGCAGTGGTTTATCTGAAAACAATCTCAGGAGAGACTCACGCCTGGAATATTGCCACAATCCTCATAACATACAAGCACAAACCATCACAAAATTATCACTCCTTGACGCTTCACATTACAGCTCTTATTCCAAAGTACCAGATGGAATATTATGAAATATAGCAAATTAGCCCTAATTACACCATCTCCTAGCCATAGTCTTAATTACAAAGCACTTACCTCATGAATAGTAATAGTTCCTGCATTGTGAATTGCACATCTCCAATAAAGACAATAATTATTTTATACAGGAACTCTCTTCATGCGGATTCATACGCCCCTGCTTGAGAATACTGCCTCTGTTCTATAGTTTTGCAAATAGCAGCTGCCCTGAATCCAAACTCAGTCTTCCAATGTGGATGGAGGATGTCTTATTACAGGTATGGCGACCACTGAGCTAATTAAAGACCCAATCCGCAAGCTAGATTGCGTCTAGATTTTTGTATTTCCTGAAACAATAATGAATCTGTTGAATGTGCATTGATTGCCTCAGGTGGCTGACAGATTGGATAAACAAGTCTGGGTCTCCAAATTGTTAGAGCTGTGAATTCCCTTGATGTACCATTCCCTGATGAGAAAGCATGTGTCTGCTCATCAGTAGACAATCAGAGAGGCAATGTCTTATTTGATAGGACGTTTAGATCCTATTTCTTCAATGTTTGAGGGTATTTGAGAATTATGCAGTAAGCTCTAGTACAGCTGTAAATGGGCTGTCAATATGTGATCATATAATGTGATTTAATTACAATAAAAGCATTAATAAATGTATTTTTTTCTTAGAATGGCAGCAGAAATGTAACCGGAAACAATGGGAACTTAATGGGAATATCTCCTGTACAAACCAATACTTGATATGTCTAGACCATGTGTGTTTACCGCTGGATGACGGCTCCGCTCTGACCCTGTTTTTCTCCTTTCTCTCCCTCCTTCCAAAACCTCAGACAAACCAAATAATGCATATGTAATCCTTAACGTGTGAAAACCTGGCTATAGCTGCTAAATGAAAATCACGGCATAAGAAAAGGAGTGATCCAACGGGGTGGGAATAAACCTCTTACTACGTGCTTGTGCGTATGACAAACCTCAGACAAAGAAATCCCCCCTGCTTTGTCTGCACAAAAGAAAAGGCTCAACACCACGAAAAAGACGCTTGCATGTGACAAGTGAGCCTTCTGTGAAGTGTTTTATTCTCCCATGATATGTTTTAGACCTTGATGATCTATCTCAGCCATCCAATCACAGTGAGAATGGGCAATAAAAAAAATGGGTGATTCCATAAGTCGAAGAATCACAGGGTGTTTTTGACGTGATTTGTCCATCTCTAGTGCTGGGAAGAAAAGTACATGAAGGTTAGAAAAGACATTGACCATTTTACCCAATGTCAAGGCGGTAGAATGACATCAGCACAATAGGAATCAGGTCTCAGGAGTCTCTTGGGAGTTGTGTTATCACCCTGGGGGTGACATGTCACCCACCCCTTCTGAATGAATGGGTTACTGACACACGCCTGGGTGTCATTGTTGGCAAACAGCTCAATTAACAAGTCCTCTTGCCCCATTAATGCTATTAGCCGCTGATCCAGGCAGCACCGGCTGGCTAGGCTGGTGTTGGCGGTAAATTGGAGATTGCTGTAATCCTCTCAGCTTTTTGTCAGTGCCACGGCGACCACAGTGCCCCTTCTATCAGTGGAATTATCGCTTTTGTCTTGCAATGGAATTGCTGGAGAGACCCTTGAGGATTTCCATCCACACCCCACTCGTGCACAACTGCTTTGTTTGTCATTCTTACGATGATACACCCTCATGCTTATTTTATAGGCAGACAAACTCCCCACCCCTGTTTCCACTCTGAAATGAGACGGTCATAGCCCAAGGATTCCTCGCCTTGCTGCTGGTTCCTTTGAACTTTGTGTTTTTGTCACTTCCCTGTGTGTTCCCCCTCCCTTATCTCCTTTTTTGACTCTCTCTCTTTTGTTCCTACCCTGTGCACACTCTTTCTCACCTACACATGCGTGCACGCTTGCACAAAGACCCATTCAGCTGTTTGCTGAGGACCCATCCACGCACGGTTTTCTTAAAGGAGACCAGTGCACCAGCGAAGACTGATATTTGACCCATCTTCTCCAGCTGACTGCTGTCCGTCGCTTCCCCCCTGCAACTCCCTACCCCTCCTTTTCTCCCTCTCCGCCTCTGTCTCGCTCTTTCTCTCTTTCTGAGATCTCTCTGAGCCGTGCTCTTTGTGAAACAGAACACAAACCTTCACACACTGGCGGAGTGCAGCAGTCTGCGCCTGTGTCAGGGGGACTGCACGCGGTGGGCAGGCATGGATCGCTTCCTTGGCTTCGTCAAGCAGATCCGGAGGTCCAGGAGACGCAAGGGCAAAAAGTATCGTCCGGAAGAGGATTATCATGAGGGTTATGAGGACGTCTATTACTATGCTTCTGAGCACCTGCACCGTAAGTGATTCCACTAGCTGGCTGGGGGGTATTAGAGCTTGGATATCAGTCATTGTTTTACTATTGCATAAATCACTAGCCTAGGGCAATCATGAGCAACTCCGCTTTGAGGGATGAATGAATGGTTTATCTGTAGACCGTAAACTCCTGGAGGGACTTAAGCTTGCTGCAGTTGAGGTTCCTTGTCAGTGTGAGTGTTTATAAGGGTATGGGGGTGTGTTTACCTCACTACCCTTGTCTGATGGATGGCCTCAGTCGGTCACCATTTGTTTCTATTGATTTAGAATGTGTTTAATGCTGTGTTGGCCGTTAAATGTGCACTAGAGTGGACATTTATGGCCATACTGGTGTACATTGCTGAGCTGCTGCTGTTTGAGTGCTACTTGGTGTGTTTGGATAGCACACTGTCCTTTAATCGCAGGTGAGAAGTTTGAGTGTGTGCCTGTGTGTGTGTGTGTGTGTTTGTGTAACAGGGCATCTTTTTCAACAGCATAGCGGTCTCAGGTAGCTGTGGTGCTAGGTTTCAAAAACACCTCTGAATAGCATCATCCCAACCTTTGTTCTGCCTTTAGTTTAAAATGAATTGTATACAATACGGTAGTGGTCTTCTTGGATGAAGCTACCTTTTGTTTTAATTCAAGTTATTTCAGAGTTTCCCTGTATACAGAATGCAGGTTCCCGTTCATGAGATGCCCTGGGGCAGCATGGGTAATGACAGGGAAGAGAGGAGCCGGTAGTCCTGTAATCCTCATTCCACAGCTCTCCTGGTGAATGACGGACAGTCTAAAAGTGGTTGAATGCAGGTGTTAGCAAAGCATTGTTGTTGCATTGTCTTTTGTATTATTGTGGTTTTTTTTTTTTTTATGTATATGACCTTTTGAAAGCTTTGAAGCAATCAAAGGAAGATGATCAGGATTCAAATTTGAGATAGCGTCTAAGTTTCTACAGTATGCTAACGTTACTTGAACCTTGTTTCAGTGTGTTTCAGTTCACTGCATCAGGGTGTGTCTACATTTGAGGGACCAAAATGTTCCAACAAGGGTAGTATAATCTGATATCACCAGACAAGGGTCCCCAAATGGGTTAATAAACATACTATCATTAGCTTAGCATAAAAACAATAGAAGTGAATGGAAACTCTCCATCATGATAAAAAAATGTGTATGTTTACAGTAAGTAGTTTTAGGTAAGGCTTGAGTTTTTCATTGTATGTCAGGAATTTTTACAGTGGGGGCATGTTAGTCAGACAAAGCAATGCCCAAGATACTTACTCATCACCATTAGCAATAGTGATGTAGTCATCACCGCCACGCATGAAAGCGCTGATTTGCACGAACAACCTTTCTGAGAATTTAAACCTGCAGAACTGTTGTGTTCTCAGACGTTGCTAGCTTGAATTGAGGATGACTGGTGGAATTAATTGTGCGACTGAAGCCATGTTTCATTCCTACGTTAGCTTTGGTTTCTTTTTGTGGGGAGACGTTAATGAAAATAATTTGTTGTGGTGATTGTGATGTCAGCTGAATGCTGCAACCTGTTCCCTTTAATGACTTCTTTCTTTCAAGCGTTATTTTTAATGTCAGGTTTTCACTTTGATATGCAGTAGCAAAGCGCTCCTGTACGAAACATAGAATTAGACACATAATTGGCCCAGCTGGAGTCCGACTGAGTCATTCAGAGGAAGTGAAGAAATAAATGCCATTTGGAATATTTTTAGATAAGTGGGAAATGTAGAGATGTCACTTACATTTTCTGTTTGGCTTAATGCTTCAGGTGTGCGTTAAATGTAATTAGACTTTAAGCTAGCAATGCTGCTTTTAAAACATAATGGCAGCTTGGCTTGCACAAAGGGATCAACTGCTAATTAACCCATATAGCAAAACCCTGGAAAATGTCACGCGTGTGCTCCCCGAGCCCAACCACGTCCCCCTTCGATTTGCCTGGGTACCTTGTTTCGCCTCACTCTTGCCTCTCTTCATAATTTCTGCCTTCCTCGCGGTCAGGTTTTAGTGTGTCCATTCTCGTTCATTTATCAAATTCTCCCTCGTGTGGCCTGCTGTCATTCCTTCTATGATACACTTCATTTTTATACCCGTGGGGCTCACTGCAGGACCTACACTTTGGGGGAGGACTATGTTCTGATAAATTGGTCATATCACCATAACAAAGAGTAGTGGAAAGATTTAATATGTTTGTTTGATGTATTCAGGGACTGTAGGACGTTCTGGTGAAGGTGACCCAATGTAATGTTGTTTCATTTATTTGCAGTGGAAATATGGCTACGGTTTTTCAGTTCTGTTTTATTGGCTAAACGCAGTTTGGCTATAAAACCGAACTGACTTCTTTTACATTCGCTTATTCCTTCACATTTCAAGAGTGATATTGGCTGATCTGTAACATACAGAACCTTATGCTGGTCCAATTCGAAAGTCACACGTTAGTAAATCTGGTTGTCAATCTGAAAGACTGACTATGAACGTAGTCAAGACTGACTATGAACCATCATTCCATTATACTTCCTACATTTGCAGCTTTGTGTGAAATTGAAATTTGTACTCTTTTATTTTTTAACTTGCAAACGGCTTTCAACAAGATAAAGCAAACCTTGCAACCCCCTTTTTCTGCAAACTGGTATCGTCCTGAGCACACTAGTATATGAAACACTGTTTAAAATGCTGAATATTTTTCTTGTAGAGAGACTCCCTAAATGAAACATTAGCTGCCTTATTTTAGCTCAGGGCAAGTGTCCTTTCCCTGCTGTGAGGTTCCCAGAAACCCAATGCACAGCATCCATTTTGCTTATTTGTTTTCTCCTGTTCACAGGAGTAGACTCAAGTATCACTGAAGTACCAATTGTTTTAAAATACAAATCATGATAGCACCAGTCGTAAAACTGTACAAATAAATGTTTTTGTAATATTTCATCATACATAACTTGATCTGCCCCTGAAGTGACATTGTTTTTTATCTGACATCACCAACCCTCTTCAATACCTTCCTGCTAAATATCTGTCATACTATGCAGGATTCATTAATTGCTTAAAGGATAAATTCCGACACTCCAATTAGTTTTATTTATTTTGAAATCATGTTTCAGCTTGAAACAGTTCACATTACGGAAGTAAAATTGCTTGTGAATGCTCTTTTGAGTAGAGTTTAATGTCACCCTGTGTTTTTGTTGGTGGCATTTGTTACACATTATGGTATTTGTCTGAGATAGTTAGCCTCATCCCTATACATAACATGACTTTATTTTGTGCTATAGTCCAGGATAATAAATGAATAGCTGGGCACAGGTTAATTTACAGAAATATGACACGATATGTGCAAAACATTTTTGCGTATAATATAGACTAAAGTAGCAAATACCTGCATTTGTCTGATAAAGAGGAAATACCTCTTGTGCGATTAGAGATTTCGGTTGGATTCTTCATGACAGCCACCAAGGCTGCTATGACAGAATGCATTTGGTTCCCAAAAAGAAAGTGGCAGCACTTCTAAGAGATGTCTCAAAGGAGCTGGGAGCTAAATCAAGGATCTTCCTTATATCAAAGCAGAGATTCCTCTTGTAGGTCACATGAAACCCCTGAAGGAAAAATAAATGCATTTGAAATCATCATTTTGACAGTTAAGCAAAACAAAATGTTTCCCTCTGATAAAATGCTAATTTGTTTTGTCCAAACTATAATCAAACACCTCCCCCCCATAATATCGGCAGATAGTAGAAAGCCAACAAAAAATGTATTTCACGGTTTATCTAAATGCAATGTCGTCTACTGTCCCTTCAACCACTTAACAATTTGTGTGCTGCAAAATATTGCTTTCCAAAGACACGTTCAAGCAAACACAAATTAAAATCTGCCCATAGCCCTCTCAAAATCGTTCTGGAAAGATGGCAGCGTTTCTTGAAATATGGTTATGGGAACGTCTGTTGCGCAGCGGCAGCTGTTTTAGGCCCGTGGTTGCTAAAGAAGGATGCAGTCTGATATTTTAACGAGCTGCTCACAGTTAGTAGTAGGTGATAATGAAGCCTGACGGTCCCTCCACAATCATCTCTCCTCCCATGTCACCATTCACAGTCAGCTGATCTTTCTCTACGCATTAGCAATTATGCCAAAAAAGAGATGGTTACCTAAGGCCTTCTGTTGAATAGCAGGAGGATACTGTCTCATCATTCTCATTTGGGATAAAATGAGATGAAAGTACTTGGCACACTTTCTGGATTCATCTTTTTTTGTCTTCTGTTTTTAATGGCACATTACACAGGACTCTCTTGGTGTTTTGATGACTGGATGTTCTTCTCCACTTTCATTAACCACTTTGCACTGTTTGTCCTTGCACTGGATCAGGTCACAGTTAGTCATGGTCCTCCTTTGATATAAACTACAATGTTTAAGTACTGTAATTGACTAACAGTTTTTTTTTTATTGTGAAGAACAAGATCTAAACCTTTTTTATACATTTATTTATTTTAACATTAGGGCTGTCAACGTTTAACGTGCAATGCATGCAATTAGTTTTAAAATCCTTAATGCGTTAAGATAATTTAACGCAAATAAAATACTGATGCACATGGAATTGAAATGGCTTCAACGTATTTTGCGTCACGCAGTTACGCAATACAATTGCGTATACATACATATACATAGCAATTGACGACTAAATGAATGTTAATCAAGATAAATGGTGTATTAATCTCATGGAAAGTGTGGGTGTGATGGTGTGAATGTTTCAGTTCATAAAACAGATCAGGGCTGCTTTTCCCAAAAGCTTTGCATGCCAAAGTGGATCCTCGAGATCTTTGGAGTCAACAGTTTCTTTATGCTTTTGGGAAACAGCTGTGAATGATTTGTTCACAAATCAGACTGATCCAGTTTTCACTGACTTAGTGACTCTCAATGAATAGAAGTCCACTGGAATTCCACACACAAATCTATGACTTCAGTCTTGGAATAAAGCCCAAATACGTTTTTGAGATTTTTGTATGCACAAGGGTTCTG